GGGATTTCGGGAAAATAATGTATTGCCTTTTCGAAATGTTCTGACGCATAGTTCCTGGAGTCAGTACTTGTTGACTTTGAGATATACACTTCAAAAACTGTCATATTGACATGAATGTATTTACACCCTATTTCTCATCTCCGTGCTTCTTTCAAACGACAGAAAAAAAGTTTGCCTTTCATCCTGTACACCTTTTAATCTCATCACTATTTCATCATGAGATGAAAAGTTTCATTTTACATTCTTTTATTTGCTAGTCAGAAGTCATGCAGCTGGAGTCAACTTCGATAAAGTTCTTTCAAAAATTTCGAATCACACACTACTGTACTTTAGTAGTTTATGGAAGACCAGAAGATAATTTTTTTTAAAACCCCATAAATTCTAATCGGTTATATCCAATTGTTTGAGTAATAAGGCAACTTAGTTGTGTTAACTTGTAATTCATAGGGACCAATGGATATTTCCTTACGATTCAAATTCTTACTGACCATTGATGCATTTATAAAAATAAGTGAAAACTGAGTACACGAAAGAATATTAATTACGTCATTACCACTTGCATTGGACACTAGGAAGTAATTATAGTTTGACTGGTAGGATTCAGTCTACACCAAATAAAGGATTAGATGCATGACATTAGTTACTTAATAGCTAGTGTCTAATCAAAGTATCCATTACAATCCTACAACAAGACATCAATCGTGAGACCGAATAGCTCAGTGGTAACGTCTCTGACTGCATCACTGGGTGACTTGGGTTTGAATCTAAGAGGGGATATGACTGAATGACTGACTGACTGACTGACCGGTTTCAACATAGAACTTTGCACTGATGTGCAGCAGTTCAAGTCACCAAGATTGCAGACATGCCTTGCTGACTGACTGGTGAGTGCTAACAAGCACGAAACGTAGGTCAGGCAAGCCTTCCTTCCGATTGCCTCTAATCACCTAGCAACTATTCAGTGTTTCACTGTTAATTGATACATCAGTTACAGACACTTGTCACACGAATTTATTGGTGATCTACGATCAAATGTGACTGACTGGTTTCAACATATAATTTTGCACAAATGTGCAGCAATTCGAGTTGACACACTCCGTCCATGTAGCACACAAAGCAAGAGAAGACAGTAAAGAGATTCAAAAGAGAGATAATAAGCAGAAATATGAGGCAAACAGAATGGTAATATGGAAGAAGAATATAATTTTATTTGATATTATAAGTCACAAAGAGAGAATGCGTCTGCGACATTGAGAACGATTTTGAGCCATATCATTGATTGTCTCCAGCTACTGGTTTTTAATATCCTGAGAACCACAACCAGGAAGTCGACACCTCCCTACGTGGCTGGCTGGCTTAAACTAACCGTTATTGATTTCATTGACTGACGAAGCCATCTTTTAGTTTGACCACCACTAACTCTTTTCCAACCTGATCTGTCCTATGTCAGCTAGCATTGGTCGTCGAGGAAGGCGATGGCTGGGCATGCATGGGTAACGCAAGTCCTAACCATATCAATTGATGTAACTACCTCATCGATTGATATAACGAACACTTTATCATTAGTATACAAGATTTTATATTAGCCTGGAAGCAACACTTATAATGTCGGAAGTTCATGTTACTGTTTAGATATAGATGATTGAAATGGCCTGAAAATTTGTTACTCGATGTTCGATAGGAAAATGGTAAAAGCGATCAACCATAATTCCAGGAAAAAAGCAAAAGAGAGTATGTTGGAACAGATCTGTTTAAAAACACGAACTGAATAACAATCTCGTCTTATGTTGTAACTGATGCTCACCAGTTGTCTTTTTTCTTTCATTCTCATTTAAATCCAGTAAATCAAACACCTAAATTAATTATCACAAGCGAATACTTATGAACAATATGTTTATTTGCTAACATGGTGGTCAAATCCAATTGTACTCAAAGAGAATGTTTAGAATTGTATGAAAAAAAGACTGATACTTGGAAAGTGTACATTAAGAGCATAGTAAATGGGTGTATTGATTATTTTACCCAACTTAGCAGTTGTACTTTTTCCGAAGACCGATTATAACAGAAATATTATAAAATTAAAAACACTACTGCATTAGGACATGAGTACGTCACAACAAATTAGACTGTAAAAATCAATAAACATAAATATTATGATTATTTAGTATGCTGAAACACAGAGAAAATAACAAAAGACTTACCGTAGAAGCATTCAATTCATTACCCATAGCTGCATAAGTTGCAAACGTTGAACTTGCTAATAGTGCAGGGCATACTGCCCAAAAGAATACACAACAAGCATCTAACAGCTTTTGACCACGTAGCGCTTTCATCTCTTCAACTCGAGAATGCATAACTCGACTTTTCATTAAATTTTCCCAACAGGCTAGTTTAACTGATAGCATATTTGGTAGTAATTCAGACATTAACTGGATGTCAAAAAAAGCAAAAATAATTTGAATAATGATTAAAGTAGCGAAAAGTATCATTATATATATTAAAAGGTATGAAAGTTATTAGAAAATCACCCGGGACGCAGAACTCCGCCTGGAACAAGCTGCATCCAGGAAAGGCAAATAATGTGCAGATCAAACTGCAACTCTACGCATCGTCATCGCAGAACAAAGCATAGAATGGTACTCAAACCTCTACCTCAACTTCATCGACTTAGAAAAGGCCTTCCACAGACCACGTTGACTGAGAAGTAATTTGGAAACTACTTCAACACTACGCCGTGCAGTGATCAAGTCTTTATCAACCTCATTCAACGGCTGGGTGGCTATATAACAATGCCACGTGTCAGGAGATCCACAACGGAAAACTCAGAGAGGTGTCCGAATTGAATACAGGAGTTAGACAAGCTGGTTGCCTATTACCACCCTTGATATTCTTCATTGTGGTGGACTGGATTATGCGTCAGATTGTGCGTCGGGAATAAGGGGATAGGAATACGCTAGACGACCGACAAGAAGACTCTAGAAGATCTGGATTTCGCAGATGATATATGTCTTGTCACACAAACTCGAGAACTTGCAAGCGAAAACCAACAAACTGGCTGAAGAAGGTGGCAGCGAAAACAGAACTGCAGGTGAACACAGAGAAGATGAAGGTGATGAAGATAACCGATCGACAGCAACAACAACAACGAGCACCAGTCACCATCAACAGAGGTTGCCTCCTTCACTTATCTGGGAAGCATCGTTTCAATCACAGGCAGTCGGAACGGACGAAGATGTCAAAGTCAAAATTGGAAAGGCAAGATACGCCTTCATCAACCTGAAACCAGTTTGGAAATCTTCTACACTCAGCATAAAGAACAAGATTTGCATTTTCAACACTAATGTCAAGTCGGTTCTTCTATACGGGTCAGAAACTTGCTCTGCGTGTCACGAAAAGGATTTCCAACAGGCTGCTGTAGACTTTCATCAACATCTGTCTTCACTCCATACTGAAGATCAAATGGCCAGAAAGAATAAGCAACAAGAGACTATGGGAAAAAGCCAACAAGCAAGAGCCGATCGCTTAACAAATATGTAGGAGAAAGTGGAGATGGATACGTTGAGGAGGCCGCCGAATGACATCGCACGCTGGACCCTCGAGTGGAATCCAAATGGGAAGCGACGAGTGGGTCGTCCTAGGGTGACATGGAGGAGATCGTGTGAGGAAGAGATGAGAGAGTTTGGTCAGTAGTAGACCCAGCTGAAGAGGACAGCAGAAAACAGAATAAAGTAGAGATGTGTTGTCGAAGCCCTATGTCCCACTCGGAACGCAAGGGAATAATAATAAATGTAAGTAGTTCTCCTCGTTGATTAGGCAACTGATACTTAACAAGTTATACCTTGTTATGCTGCATTCTGCTGTTCAGAAGTAAAATGTCTAATTCAAACAGTAGTTAATTGCTACGTAGCTAATATATGTATTTATATAAGCAATATTTTAGTTGGGACTCAGTCACTCGGAATAGATTTCTTACGTACCAAGCCATGAGTCACAGTTGTGTGACAGCTGCCCACCGGTCCAGGATGAAGTAGGTGAGGAGAGATTCAAACCCTGTACCCACTGGTTAAAGACAACGAATCGTATCTTTACAGGAATTATCTCTAGAGTGCTTAATTATATTCTCATAATAAAAAGTAGTTAGAAGTAAACCAAATGCCTGTTAAATCATTTCATGACGCTGGAATGCAAAATATGAAATACGCTCATAAAAACACCAAGGGAATATTTTAAACCTAAAGTACAGATTATGACGAGATATATTATTATTATTACTTCACGTTCCCAGTGGAACATAGGACTTCAAGCTAGATGCTCGAAGTTTCTGTAGTAGTGTTTATTTTTACAGGATGGGGTTGCTAGCCTCATGCCCAACCTTTCCTCTTCACCAGCTTTTAGTTCTGACTTAGCGAGGTAAAGGAGTGCGCCGGCCGGGGATCGAACCCCGGACCATGTGCATGGTCGGCGAGCGTCCTAACCGCTATGTCACCGACGCAAATGACGAGATATAAACTTACTTTACTTTACTTCGGCTATCTCCTACAGGAGGATGAGCCGGCTTCATGAACATCTCGAATCATCGCTGCCTAGGCGCGGCGATCTGATGAAGAGAGTTCATGAAGTTTCATGGGAATTTGGTACGAGTGATGTCCCCAGAATCGCTCGGCCTTTTGTTTGAGAGTGCAGCTCTAGCCTTTACACAACCAAGTGTGATCTACAAGGCAGTAGGAGTGGAGTACGGAGTCCACTATCCATTGGCAGCCGGTCACCGGAGTTCGGTTCATACGCCTTTTTGAATGGGGCCAGATATCCAGGACATCCAACAAGCCCTTTGTGCATACGTCTGCCGGTGAGCTCCAGTGAGCTTCATACGCCAGTCGTTGGAGGTTTGGAATCAGGGTTTAGCCATCTCCCCTAGACTGTCATCCAATGGACAGTCAACCCGGTGAAGAGCACCGGGCATCCGCTTTCGCCCTCTCACTTTGGCGAAAAACACCTCTGCCACGTGAAGGCAGTGAGTAGGACTTCCTCAGGAGAGGCTATGGAAGACGCCCGGTCATATGGGAGCATTTCAAGAGGTGTGCGGAGGGGTGGCCAACCCGCAGCACAAGGCACCCAACCCCGACCATCCTGAGGCTTTGGAGACGAGATATATACAACGCAAAGTTTCACTTAGTAACTATAGTATTTGAGTCTAGATAATGAAACAACGTATTACGTGGTTTCAAGGACTATCACTTCAAGTCACCAACACTGTAATGTAACCAACTAACTTTCTGACCTCGGCAAAGTTCATCAATAGCGTCCTAAGGGATGCGAACGTACGAGTGCCCTTCAGCCGACTAATCATAAAATTGAGGAATTTTTGCGCAAAAAATTATGTATGTTTGCAAAAAATGCATGTAAACACATTAAACAGGTTATCTTTCTCTAACATGGCTTGAAAATACCTCTATTATAATGAGGGGTATCAGTTGCTAAGTTAGACTAGTTTCTGTACATATATTCACCGAGATGACTACAGATGAGCTGTTTTTGTGAATCGTTTATCTCTCTTATTCTGTTGTGCAGTCTTCCCTAAAAGCCCTCGGATGAATAAGTATGGTTCGCAGTAAGAGGAGCGACGACTACTTACTAAGCAAATGTGGATAATAAAACAAATTAAAATAAATGTCATCAACTCTAAATCCATCCATAATCGTAACCCTAACTCTAATTACAATCCTTGCCCTAACCGTAAACCTAACCGAATCCTAATTATGACCCTGATCCTAACCCTAACGACCTATTAACACATTGTCCAAACAGTCCTTAAAAACGTGATCTGGGTGAAATTTGCTCCTCAGTTTGTGAATAGCGTTGATATTTCAGCTATGATAATGACAGGTGCTGTTAGCCAACGACTAGCATGCGTTCAAGATCATTGGCGCGTTCGCACTCCTGGGATGCTATTATTGAACTTCGCCCTGACCCTAGAAAGTAAATATTTTATTGTACCAACCCCATGATACAATGAAATTTGAAAGAAAAGACTAAGACTGTTCTGATGTAATCCGATAAGGATGGTACCTGATGTTTAGCAGTGGATCAATAGCTGACTAACTTAGATCAAATGAACACAGTGAAGGCGTTCTGATGTAATGAGCTGAACATTAAGATTAAGTTGATATCTTTAGTGTTATTCCATACTTTTCCTCATTTCAGCTATCTCATAAACATAAAGAAATTTTTAGTAATTATGGCGACTGCACGTGAAACTTATTTCAACAGTATGACTAACAAATTACTTAGAATAAACGCTAGAACAGGCAAATTTGCTTCGAAAATATGTCTTCATAATGAAATATAAAATACAAAAGGTGGCTACTGAAATGATGGATAGAAAGTCAGCCGGATGTATTTTGACCTTCTTCAGTATATAGATTTAGAGTTTTAAGAAATTTTGTGTTTGATCACTTTTGGTTTATTTAACTCCAGGAAAGCCTCGAAATCATTTAAAAAAGGGGTCGCCTAAAATTCCAGCATCCATTTGATATGATTATGAGCAGTAAATTGTATTTTATCTACATGTTTTTTGGAAATAACTAGCAGAAAAACGAAACTGGGTGTATTGAAAAGAACGCGAAAAACTGGAAAGTAAAAAAAAGAATACTGAATCTGATTTCCCAATAACTCAATATAAAAGCTAAAGAGAAAACTCAGACAGTTGACGCAAAAACATTGCATGATATACATACCTTAATCCTTGTGTCTTTGAACAACATCAAACGGCGACTAAACTTTCCAATTTGGGTTGCCAAAACGCGATTTAGAGGAGTTAACACGATTAAGAAGCCGATACCCACCAAACAAGCAAGTCCAAGTTGACGATAAAGTAGTGCGATTGCAACACATAATTGGAGAGGCATGGCCCAAACTTCATGTACACTAGGTGCCAAATTAATTATTCTATCAGCATCAGATGTCAAATAATTAACCAAACTCCCAGTTCCAATAGCGCTCAGAGATGAGGATTTTAGGGATAAAATAGTTCTATACACCATTCCACTTACACTCACTCTAACTTTGAAGTTAAAAATAGCCATTCTGTAATTGTAGGATGTGCTTAGAAGAGCTATCTTACAAGACAATAAAATCAACCCAATGCCAGAAAGTATACAGGACCAAGAAGTCTGGGAGTTTGTTATGTTCACAATAAAGTGATTTAGTACTACAGGGCTACAAAGACTAAAACAACTCAATAGGAGTTTTAGCAAACCAAGAAACAAGAATTCCCGACCGAACTTTTTAAAAAATGTCTTTAACAGAGGCACAGATGTTTTAACAGAATATTCCAGATCCAAACGTTCCAAAAGCTGCTGGAGTTTTCTGCTGTCATTTTCAGATTGAAACTCGAGTTTGGGAAGCTTTGATTCTAAAAGGTACGTATTGAGGCATTTTGGCAGTGCAGGCAAGTTCCTAAGCGAATATAATTCACCATAATAACCACTGCGTACCAAGTCACCCACCCAACAGAAAAATAGTCTTGATGGATATGAAGCCTGATCTTCGCACTTCACATTTCGTGTAATATTTTCTACTCCATTTAATACAGCTGGTTGCTGAACCCTAAGACTTTCTCTGTAGATCCTAGCTGTTCTACGTCTAGGTTCTTCTGTAGGATAAAAAATCGGCACTTTGGAAAAGGCATGCAAGCATAACAAAAATAGGTGAATATAGCAGTTGGTGATGATGAAAGGTCTCCATAACTCATCGATTTCTGCCATAAAGGACCAACAATTAATGACGCAGCAGAATAAGTATACAATCGAGAACAACAAATACAATAAAGGACCTCTAGACGAATATTTAAGGGCTTTTCCATGGAGAAAATCAAAAACAAGTGTTGTAACCCAGAGAGTCGCCGTCAGCAAATTGTGTATTACAACAAAGCGTGAGTTGATTGCAAAACCTTCCTTGTAATACGGAAGCAGAAATGAAAGAACGATAGTCACGCAACTATTAGTAATGATAGTTATATCCACTGCAACCCGGAAATAAAGTACTGAACAGTAGAGATTATCAAAAGCGAGATGTTTCCAAATGATAGCGCAGTATATAAGTGATAAGAAGATAAAAAGAACTATGAGCGGGATGAAAATATGAATTTCGAACCAGCAAACACCGATAATGCCATCATGCCAAGGTTCAGGACTTAAACTACCACAGAATAGTTGTAAGACCGGGACCTGCATCTCATGCCTTTGGTTCCGTCACACATCCAACGACCTTGGCAATGTTATGAAATGGTATACTTAAAGATTATGACACTAGTGAATAATTTTGTCCCTACCTTGAGGAAATGAAGGAAGATTCACGTAAATTACCGCGTCTTGTGGATTTTCGTCGTCATTCAAATCAAGTAAGAGTAGTTATGCAAGGTAGAATGTAGTATTATCCAATATCCAATATCCTGATTACGAGCTAGTATAAACCAGTGATTTCTTTGAGCTCGCTTCTTGACTGTAAGGTAGAGGTTCCAGATTTTCGATGAACTTATGCGTAGTAAATCCCGCCACTCGATTGCCTTAGCTCTGGTAGACACCAAGAGGAGTGGTTAGAGGATTGGTCAAGATGTGGTTTGTAGTGTGCAGTATGTTAGGACTCAGTTGCTGCCGTGAATGGAGTTTGACCTAACATTGGTCACTCGGTGTAGTCATAAAAGTAGAACAGTAATAATAATAGGTTGTAGTGTAGATAATATAGGTTGAGATAAATGAAATAATAAAGGTGAAATAATAAAGGTGAAATAATAAAGGTGACCAAAGAAAAGATAGAGTAGTCGGTACAGTGAGAGAAGACAGAATGGGTCGTGGGGATTTAGCTTGTATGCTTATCCATTGACAGTGGGGTTTCAAATTTTAAGAGGATAAGCCATTGAGACACAAACCATGCATTTTTGTATGATTGTCCAGCTTCCGCTTAAAAGTCTCCACAGATGGCGCTGTAGTCACGGCCGCTGGTAAAGCGTTCCAGAGACGGCAAACTCGAAGCGAAAGGAAATGTGAACGCACTCGAGTCTCTGGTGTGCTATCCTTAGCGGGTTACCTCGTGGAAGCCTATAATCACTTAATGGCAGGATGCTTTTATTAGGGTGGGCCTGGTCATTTAAGATCTTATAGACGGTGATGAGGTCTCCCCTGTGACTACGGTAACTAAGTGTGAAAAGACTTAATTTCTTCAGTCTTTCATCATATGATTTGTTGCGGAGGCCGATCACCCATTTTGTCGCTCCTCTCTGGACACTTTCTAGAATGTTAGCATCCCTTTTGAGTAGCGGAGGAGCAGTGATATTATGCACCTCAAGGAGTGGCCCCACAAATGTCGTATACAACCTTAAGAATAGTTTGGGAGTGAGAGCTCCCAGCTGCCTATGCATAAAGTGTGAGGTTGCGTAAGCTTTGGCGACGTTCCTCATGTAATTTACACTGGTGTCTAGCTTTTCCGTTAAAATAAGACCAAGGTCGCGTTCTGATGGCACACAAATCAAGTTCTGGCCACCAAGGGTGTAATTTACACTGTGACCTGCCGGAATGAAGTTGCATTACTTTGCACTTCTTTAAGTTGAAAGGCATTCCGTTAGCCAGAGCCCAGTCTGCCAGAGTTTGCAGGTCAGCCTGCAATCTGTCGGAGTCTTCCGATGAGTTTACTGCTCTCAAAATCTTTACGTCGTCAGCGTAAAGAAGCGCAAAGCAGTTCAGTTGACAGGGCAGATCGTTGATAATAATCAAAAACATCAACGGCCCCAAGACAGAACCCTGAGGAACTCCTGATGCCGAGGTGTACCAGGATGATCGGATGCGGTTGACTTTGGTGCAGAATTCTCTCTCGCCTAAGTAATCTTTCAGCCATACGAGAAGTGCTCCAGAAACACCCGCCTTGCTTATTTTGTGAAGGAGCAGACCATGGTGAACTGTGTCGAATGCTTTCGCAAAGTCGAGAAAGATCACATGGACCGGTACCTTTACGTCCCAGGATAGTGTTCAATAGTTCCAAGCTAGTAGAAGATTTGTCACATAGGATCTTCCCCTCCTGAAACCTTGCTGTGCTTCATGGAGTAGGTTAGTCCCGTCGAAGTATTTTCTCATGTGGTCGTCAATGAGACTTTCCAATATCTTCGATATCACTGGGAGTAGCGCAACTGGTCTGTAACTGGTCGCGTTCTGCCGGTCACCACCCTTGAAGATAGGGGATAGGATGGCTCGTTTCCATTCACATGGAAGTTTCCCTACATCACAGGAGTGTTGAAACAGATCACTTGGGGGTTGGCAGAGACTTTGTGAATACTGCTTCAGGACGGATGGTCTTATGTCATCGCAACCTGCAGATTTTCCCGAAGCCAACTTTCCCAATTTTACGAGTACCATAGCCGGGGTAATTTGAAATGTACCCAGCAGGTTTTCGCAAGTTGGTCTTGCATTGTAATCTTGATGTTTTGTGGGGGTAAAATCCTCGTTACTGTTCAGTTGCCTGTGGAAAGCTAGACTGAATGTCTCTGCCATTTCAAGACTAGTAAGAGATTTCCGGGCGAGGTTTCTCTGAAATGTCCTTCTATCACTCCGGACTCGTATGTTACATCGATTCCTGAGTTCGAGGTACACTTCATGTTCGGGTTGACTCTTCGATACTCGCCACGCAAACCAGGCTTTTCGCTTAGCCTACAGAAGGCGTTGTGTCTCCCTTTTAAGCCATGAGCGTAGCTTCCTAGCTTTTGGTGTGACTAAAGGAACAGTGTCTGAAACCGCCTGGTGAATGATATCCTTTACCACTCCCCAGTGTTCTTCTACTGTAAGCTCTGTCCAATTTTTTGGCCAATTTGCTTCAGACAAAAGTCTTCGCATTTTGGTGTAATTGGCTTTGTTATAACACAGATAGGGCTGTGTATTGTCCCACTGTAAACGCTCGCGGAGGACTATGTCGAATGTTATGACCGCGTGGTCACTACTAACTATGGAAGTCGTGATCTGAACGTTTTCCACTAGTAGCTGGTCACTAGTGAGCACATAATCCAGTCTAGAAGACTTCCCATCTGGGCCCCATCTAGTATCCATTCTGACATTTTCAGTGAATCCGGCCTCCCTGATGGTATGCAGCAGATTTCGATCAAATCTATCATGGGCATATCTCGTCATCAAGTTAAGAGATGGGGCATTGAAGTCTCCAGCTATGACAATTTGATCATAACCCATGTCTTGTGTCGCTGAAATTGCATTCAGCAGTACCTGGTTGTGGTCTGCTCCACATGAAGGTGATCTATAAATGCTGCCCACCAGATACTTACAGTACCCAACGGTGAAATGGCACCATATGGAGTCAGGGAGCTCAACGAGGGGAGGGTCCATTGCATGGACACATCGGAGCTGTTTGTCGACGTATATGGCGACTCCACCTCCTTCTTTCAGATCCCTATCTTGCCTGACTAGGGCCATATCATTTATACTGACTTCGCTGTCTGCCACCGTAGGGGTTAGCCAGGTTTCCGTCACTGTTATGATTTTGGAGTTCAGCTGTGATTGTAGGTATCTAAGTTCAGCTATTTTGCCTCTTAGACCTCTCACATTACTGTACAGGCAACTGGTAGTTAGTCTCACCACGTCCCCGTATAGGGGGGTGGTTGACGTGATGTGGGCTGTCGGTTGAGGAGTTATCTTACGAACTAGTTGGCCGATTCCCCGGAAACCGGCCTGTTGGCGTTTTTTCTTCTGGTCCAATCGGAGCACTCGAATGACACTGGCTATCATCGTCCGTGCTGCACCGCTGTATTGTGCCGTGGCCACTATCACTGGTGGAGGGTAAGGGTCTTTTCCCAGCGACAGTTACCCTTGGTGCTTCAGCCTCTGTGTCTGGGGCAGTTATGGCAGGAATTGCAAGTATAACCGGTGTGGATTTTGGTATCTCCGATTTACATGCAATTGTGCTGTTTTCTGAGTTGGTGGGAGTAGAACGTTTCACGTTTTTCCCTGACACCTCTATGTCATCTTTAGCTTTCGAGGAACTATACGAGGCTGCATCAGGACGGCAACTTGGGCATATGTACCAGAACCATGTGCATGGGTTCTTACGCATAAAATCGTAATATACTTTTGGTGCCCCGGTGTCACACCTACAATGTACCCATTGCTTGCAAAAGTTGCATTCGAAAGCAGAGTCTACTTGTTCGACAACAGAATTGCAGACCTTGCAATCATCTGCCTTCTTGGGGAACGTTTTCGCCGTCTTGCGACATCGTGAACGTTTCTTATTGGCCTTCCTGTTTGTTTCAAGGCCTACTGTGGATATGGGTGTTATACTATTCTCACTTTGTGCAGATTTACCACTCAGCTTTATTAACCTAGTCGTGTTAACAGGGATGGAGCCACATCCGCTTAGTTGACTTTTCACAGTTTCACTGTAGGACTGCGGTGACGTGGGCAATCTGTCCACGCAGGGAATATTTACCCTGGTCTTCAAGACCGGTATGCAAGAGTCCATCACCTTCACTTGTTTGCCTAATTTGGCTGAAGCCCTGGTGACTACGGTGTATGGTCTCCCATTACTTATCTTAGGGTGAGAATCTGTAGTCATATTACTCCTAAATTAATACCGATGATTAAATAATAAGAGAGAGTTTTGTCCAATAGACTGACAGCAAAAGACAATGGAAAGCACAGAACAGAAAGATAAAGTATATAAGTAAAAGCTTTTGACTTTACCTGTAACTTTCGGGTTATTCGGCTTCACAACAATCACGTAACAGACCAACAAGTCCTGTATATTTGAAAGAGTGAGGGGGATGTTGCTACAGAAGTAGCACCTGAAGCTTAGGCAGTAGTTCGAGGCAGTGGGAAGTACCAAACACAGGCTCGGTGAAGAAGAAATGGTTGAATAAAATTCGCCGGATAGGAAGATCAGGTTTCCCAAACGAATTATTCACAAAAGTGGATATTTCCTGTTAGAGAGGAAATACACGTCGTATTCGAAGCGCGCGCTTGTATTTTAGTATTTATTAAAAATGTTTGTAGAGGTAGGTAATCTCCCAAAATTATTAGCTTTTAGTATTCATCACCTTAATTGTTCAATTCGACCTGTTTAGCTGAAGAATCAAGGCCAAGCATCCACAGCATTTAGCATGCTGTCGTGTTACGTTCGGTTGTTTATACACGATCCCTAGCTGGTTAAGAAATCATCCTCGCACTACGATTCCGATTCCGAAATACACCGTATTTTGGACGACCGATTTAGTGTTTTGA